GAGTCCTCGGCTGAGGTCGTCGAGTTAACCCCAGAGGCCTTGAAGTCATCTATAGGCCTACACTTGCCGCCCTGCCATACGCCGAAGCGGCGCGAGAGAACAGCATTGGGACCTAGCGACGCAGGATCGATAGGTCCTCGCAACCACCCCTTGGCGACCTCCTTGTCAGTGGCCGCCATGAGGGCCTCATCAAGTTCTGCGTCCCCGGAACTTTTGGTGGCGAGAAGAGTTGCTTCTCTCATTACAGCCGCGGAGCTCCGGAGGTCTGAGACGGATAACGAAGCGGGTGACAACTTGGGGCGATATGCTGGATTCCTCGGGATCGCACCACTGAGGTCAAAACCCTTGGCGATGTCATTCGCTATCTCTAGGTCTTCGTGGCCACACTCCTCGAGCATGGTCCTAAAAAGGACCAGCCGAATCCGACCCAGGACACGTTTGCAATGTTGAGGCATCGAGTCACGCAGCTCCTCTTCCTCGGCTTCCAACTCACGGGCCTTGCTGATCCAATGCCGGAGCCTCTCGGTGCGTTGGGCCCCTATCTCGTGGAGCGACATGTCAGCAAGGCGGTCGATGGCCGTCTTGGAATGCGATGGCACACCGCCCAAGAGGTGACGGGGGTGCCCAGCTTTCAGTGCTTGCTCGATGAACTCCTGAGGTTTCCAAGGGATGCCCACGGCCACCTTGTGCATTCGGTCAGCTTCTGGCATGCTGCGGGACGGAATCCCAGGTGGTGGCCCAGTCGAGGAGCTGGGGCCTAAACCAGACTTACGGGTGGCGGCCACGGGACCGGCTGTTGGGCAGCACTTTGGGGAGCATCCAGGGAGGCTGAAACCAAGGTCAACAAGCCGTGTCTTCTGATCGTCAAGAAGTTTGTGGTGATCACGTATCGTATAGGCAACAAGCGTGATCCTTGGGCCCCCACACCATGGAGCTTGACAATGTCTACCACTCGGGTCAAAGATTATCCTTCGGCCCTCAAAGTCAAGAACATTCCCCAAAAGCTCGGGGTGGCCAGGATCAGGACAAGCGACGGAGCCGCGAGGTGATTCGATCCACACTCCCCCTTGCTCGAAGGAGGAAATCTTCAAAACTGCATTCGGCAGTCCTGGCTCATTGTTTCTATCGGCATGCACCTTGCCTGCGAGGTTCTTGCCCAGCATCAAGGAGGTGAAAGGGTGGCCCGGGGCAACCCGGCGCACATACTCGCACAAGAGTTTGCTCACACTGGGGTGCGATGATGTATTGGAACGCAGGCCCACCTTGTTGGCATGAAAGAAAGCTCCGCACGACCAAGAGAATTCGTCAGTGCCTCGTCCGCCCCTAGACGGTGGATCCGAGACAAGTAAATCACACAAATGGCAAATGCAGTCACGCCATGCTTCGTCGCTGGCTGACACTCCCAAGTGGAGAGCATAATGCGAGAAAGCTTCGGGGTCCATCTGGTCGTCCTCCATGGTGGCTAAGTTTCCATCGTCGTCCGCCTCGGCATTCGGGACAACTGTGGGATTCGGCACAGGTGTGGACAAGGAGGCTGAGTTACTCGAGCACGATCTCTGCGCTCCAGCTGGCACAACGCCAATGACACTCTGGCGCAGGATCCGAGTGCCCGCGGGAAGCGTCGGCAGTGGGGGCGAGCATGAGACGCAAGGTGGAAGGGCGGTATCGTCTTCCAGCTTACGCACGCCGGGAAAAAGGGGTTCGGGACTAAAAAGAACCACAATCTGCCGAAACTCGGGCACTAGGGGTGGCACACGCTTGCCGCGAGGTTGCACACCAGCTGCAACCTGAGACTCACGCAGAGGAATGGCAGCACCAGGCGCAAGGCATGAAGCGGGTGCAGTGTGGCCACGTTCGGCGGCAGCACGGACAATGATGTCGGCCATACGTTGGCAGAGCACACGAGGGTAGACCTTCTCGGCCGCTGTGTCGAAGGCACCTGAGGATCGCGACCAGGGCAGGTGGCGACCCGGGCAGAGAAGGGACAGCTCGTGTAGCAAAGGAACATTATGGGCTAGGCGGGTGAGCTTGGCACGCTCGCCGCCGTGTTGGCAGTTATGAAAAAGGGTTTCCTCAAACTGCAGGTCGGCAACGGCAGTGAGCCACATGGTCGTTTGCCAGAAGTAAGAGCGGCCTGGATTCTCACAAGAAACGAGCTTCCCAGTACGAATGCAGTGTGCAAAGATCTTGCCAGTGACGGCATAAAGATCGTTGGCCTTAGCAACGCGAACGCGGAGCTCGCCAGTGAGGTCTGGCAGCCCATCTGGGTGGGCGTCACTTCTTGCGGGAGCAGGTAGGCTTTCACCGCGACGGAAAATTTCACGAGCACGACTCGCTGTTTTTTTTTGTATGACGCAAACTGTCCAGCAGTCTCGCGCTACGCTACAATGCACAGTGGCATCGGCTCAGAGTGAGCAAAAGCAGTGAATCCCACCGGGCTAGCCACATGTGGGCAAACACTGCAGGAGTGGTTTTAAAAACCAACGTCAGCATTAACAAAGGTGAGACAGAGCACAAGTCATCGATCTAACCAGACGTGCTGACTACTCGATCGTATATACACATCGGTCTGACCAGACGTACTGGACTACTAGACCTTTGTACACATGGCATCGATCTAACCAGACGAACTGGACTACTCGATCGTATATACACCGTGGTCCAACCAGACGAACTGGACTACTAGACCTTTGTACACATGGCATTGGTCTAACCAGACGGACTGGACTACTCGACCGTATGTACATGTACAAAGAAGTCCCATGCTGTAAATAGACCGTTGATGAAGCAACACCATCGAAATCAGAGGCACCATACAGAAGATTGAAGAGCAGTGGATCGGAAGCTGATAGATAGCATGGCCCACCAGGCTGTGAAGGCCATGCAGTCAAAGAAACAGCTGTTGAGGCATCAGACCAAGGTACCATACGTGGCCAGTATATATAGCCAGTGAAGAACAGTGGTCATAGTAGTAGTAGGATCATCCAGCTGAATGCGACGGCATGCCACCGTGTAAAGCTCCTCATAAAAGTCCTCCCGATGGGCACCCACTAGCAGCTGTTTGAAATAGCATATGGCACCAGACATGGAAAGCTGATAAACATTGCGGTGTAGCTGCTGAAGAAGCACCTGTTTCCACTCTGCATCTGTACATGGAGCCTGCTCAAAGAAGTAATAAATGCCCCATTCAACAATATCCACGGCTGAAAAACCCCACTGATGCAAAAATTGAGCAAGGTGGTGGGGAGTAAGAAGTTGAGAGGCAGGCTGATCGGCCCAGGTATATAGCATATCCATCGTGATACATGAGATAGGTTCACTTCCTCGGTCTCGAAGACAATGTGGTACATCATCCAGAGAATCAGATGTTGCCGGAACCAGGACCAATAGCTGCGCAGGTGTGCCATGTGAACCACTGCTGGATGCCATACGTGCCTGAAAACTGGATGGCATGCATCGGTTCTGAAGACAGTGTGGTACATCATCCAGTGAATTGTAGGTGCCTCTGGCATCCATCCACTGGGCACGCTGTCTGGACTGATAAATACCGAAAGGCACGTCATGTAGTAAATTATAGGGCATACTGGCAGCATCCAGGCTTGGAACTGCAGCTGAATCCGTCGGTGTTCCCACCAAAGCGTGAGTCGCCATGTAGAAAAGATAAGCATAATGACCTGCACACGCGCTCAAGCTGGCATATGCATGAAAAGCCGGAAAAGGGCGGCGAATCAAGAGGGCACTGATATAATGCAAGGCATGCAAGCATGTACAGTGCAGCACCCAAGTGGTTGTTTTACCGCATCTACAGTGAGCTGACATACCCCACGCACTCCAGGAAGATCAGGTAGACTTCAGTCATCAACACACGGAGTTGTGCATTTGTGGGGCGACGCGCCATACAGGAATCATCTGTGTAGTACAACTGGGGATCTTCCTGGGTGGACTCCCAGTGAATCAGCAGCGTTCTGTAGTGACCTGAGCGTGGAGTGGAGCCGTGATGCCCAATAAAGGCTCTGAGTCTATACATACGCCAAGCTGGTCGCGGTCCAATCACTGTTTGAAATACTGGTAAGCGTACCTGAAGCGGAATCGTTACTGCTCTCTGGTCCTTGCGAACTCTGGCACCAACCGTATAAAAGCGAAGAAGCTGCAGGCACACAAACCGAGGCAATGGCCACAGCCCTGGTGCAGGAGACTGCTGAGCCCAGGCTTGTATCAGCCCTGACAGCTGAATCTCAGAGTTTGAACCGCGAGAGGGCATCGGAAGCATAATGAGGTGCTGACCTTCATCGGTTGAGAATCCTGATTCGTCACGAGACTGCCAAGTACTCATTGGAAGCACATTCTGAACCGGCCATGTACGATCGAGGACATGTTGCGCAAACTCTGCCACATCCTGCTGTCGGTCAAAATGTGGCCATTCCTGAATCAATGCCTGAAAAGCCGTGTGATCTGTTCCACAAGGGGGAGCGATGTGGACATAAAGGCAAAAGGGAGAATCGATCAGATCAAGAACCATCTTTACATGTTCGGGATCAAGGAGGTCCAGCTTAAGGACGGGAGAAATCATTTGCTTTGGGGCAACATGGTCGATTCCGATGCTATCTCGGAACCCTGCACGCCGAAGTTCAGCAGTAAGCCTGCCTGAGCCTGAGAAAATTTCAATGCAGAAGAGGGAATCGATCCTGAAAGCATCAGCACCGCAAAGAGAGTGTCCGGCATCAAGTAGCGGCCCCTCCACAGGGCTCGCAGCCTCAGCAGGACGGGAAGGAAAACAATGCGATTTGCCGGATGCAGCGGCCGATGCTTGCGGGATCTTGCGGGGTTGAGGCGCTCAGTGAAGCATCCAATGAAACACTGGGCGATGGAAAACACGGTGGTGGCACGCTGTCGGGCTCAGGCAGGCATGCGCTTCATGGCTTCTTTGGACACGCATGCGCAGGGTGGTGACCGCCACAACGCACGCAGTTGTGCAGACCCCTGGGGCAGGATTGGCCGACCTTGGCATTAGGACACCCACTAGCCATATTGAATCCCCAGCAGCGGCGCTTTCCGGTCTCAGTCCAAGACGAAAGGCCCTTGAGTTCTTCTGGGAGATTGCTAGGCTCACGCAATGTCTTGGTTTTTCCCTTGCCAGTACCTTTGCGCTGCTTTTTGGTCGGGGTGTCTGTGAGCTCAGGCTTGATCTCGTTGTTTTCTCGTTTGAGGGCACCACCTTCTCGCGGGAGGAGATGAAAAATCACCTTCGGGTCAGTCTGTAAGCGGGCCCACAAACTGTCAAGAGGCAAAGCCCCGGCTGCATCTCGACGAATCCCGTCGGGGGTGAGCTCTGCCAGGCGCATCCAGGCAGCACGGTCCGCATGCAGAATTTGTTGCACAGAGGTGGCACGGCTACCAGCAATGGGCTCCTGATGAAGGTGGCCCAAGAGGAAATCCACGAAGCCCTGAACCCGAAAGTAATCAGTCACACCGATCAAGTCAAGAGCAAGGCTTCGACGGTGCATGGCATGGTGAAGGCTCAGTGCAGTGGAAGTATCGCATGACTGATCGGGGTCACGATCTCTCACGACCAGTGTTGAAGCCTGCACATCCAACTCCTTCCGCGGTTTCTCGGACCGCAGCTCAGCTTCGCGAGTGATGAACTTGGCCGGGGAAAGGTAGCTGATGCAATTGTCAGTAAGGAGCTTCATGCAGAGGTCATACGAGGCGTAGCTGCACTCAGTCTGGCCGGACATGGTGATGCCTCTAAGTTTGTGGGCCTGTGCTCGGATGCGCTCGCGGCGCTCCGCGGGGGCTAACTCCTTGACCTCGTTCTCCTTGTTCTCAACGAGTGCCTTGGTCTGGCTGACCAAGAGGGTCTGTGCTTCGAACACCAGGTGTCGAACCGCTGCGATGGATCCCAACGGCGGGGCTGCACCACCCACCTTGATGAGGGCCGCCAGCGACTCCTCGGTCGGCGTCTCCCCGGGCTGGCAAGGGGCGAACGCTAGTTTCGCCATCGTGTCGATGGTCTGTGCAACAAGGCGATCCACTGCTTCCTGTGGGAGGCCCACACGTTTGGCTCGCTCCAGGAAGACGGCCTTGGATTCTACAAGGGTTTGCGCCATGGTCTCCGATCCTATGTGCACTCACAGAAACTGGTCTTGAGACATACACATGCAAAGGACCAATCATGCACACAGCGATTGCAAGCTTTGCATGTGGACAACGCACTGCTGGTCATCATCGCATCGCCGAGCTTGGTCCGCCCGTCCGGACCCCGTGGCAGCCACGAGGTAAACCAAGGGTTCCACTGAAACCCTTGTTCGCCCGAACGAGTCTCCGAACCACGCTCTGGATCGATGCGCAATTGACCACTCGACCATCAGACATGACTGTGAAGCTCAGCGAAACACTGAAGTGGTGATCCGCAAGCATCGCTCGTCACACGACATTTCTCACTTAGAAGCGCCCTGCTTCTTAGCGATGAAACTCGCCATGGCCCCTGCGTCGCGGAGGGGTCGGCCTGCTGTGCATTGCTTGCACAACCATCTACTGCTGAAGACCTTTCCACTGAAAGGCTTCATATTGTCAAGTGACCTTCCACAGATCAACTTGCCAGCAGAACCCTTCGCTCGTGAGTGAAGGCTCTTGGTCTTCGGGTTCTGAAAAATGTCTAAATCAGGGCCCATGTTCACAGACGGGATCGCATTCTGCGCTTCGCCTGCTCCAAAACTCTCATAATGAGTCTCTTCCTCGGACTCACCAGAACTCTCGGACTCGCTGCTCGAGGCTTCGTGAACGTCTTCTTGTTCACCCAAGTCCTGATCATCAGGAGGTTCTACGCCTCCGTCCTCGGCCAGCTCAACCTCGGGAGCACACTCGAAGCTCTCGTGAGATGGCGAAAGATTGGCACGACCAATGGGTGCCAAAGAGAAGCGCGACTCACGGATGGTCGCACCTTCTGCAATCATCCCGCTCTTTGTGCGATCCGGGTGGAAAACCCCCTGCCGGATGGCACCAAGACATTCTGCAAGGTCTCGTAGCGGCTGCGCCTGCACTTCGCGAGCGTAAGCTTCTTGCGTTTTCCCACTTGGACCTAAGCTATGGTGTCCCAGGACAAGTTGTGTCCTCTCACCGTATCCAGCTTTCGAGGTCCAGGAAGGCGGCGTTGCCTTCAATCCGTGCGAGGAGAATGTAAGATCTTCTTCGGCCGCTTGCAGCCGTGAAAGCAACGCCCTGATCCATGTAGTGGTCTCGTTGGCATCGATGGCGTCCCCGCTCCAAGAGTAATCGCAAGCCAGGCGGGGGAGCAACGGCCCGCGATGCCCTTTCTCGAAGTCGAAGCCAACGGCCTTCGCCGCCTCTACCCAAGCGGCGCCCCAAGGCTTCTGGTGGAGCCCATGATACGGCGCAACCAAAATGAGCACGGCCCCCGGTCCACTGCTCAACCGGCAATTCTTGTGCTCATAAGTTCTGACCTCGATGAAACCCGTATCGCCATCAAGGTCAAGCTCAAGCTTCGAAATGTTCCTCAGATCCGACACTCGAGCCCTGGAGTAAAGCTGGAACAAGAAGACCCCAGTAGCGTACCTGTCCACCTTGTCAAGGGCTCCCTCTATCAGCGCTCCTTCGAGGAGAAGCACCTCCTCGACCTTCAGGACTCTCGATCGTTTCGGGTCACAGGTGCGAATGTTGGCTCCTCGCAGCGCTCCCTTGACCCAAGGGTTGTCGCTGATTCCTTGTTCGACCTCAATTCCTAGAACATGTTCCAGGAAATTCACAGTCTCCATAGCCTCACGAATGGCACTGTTCCTGGCTTCGGCTGCAAGTGGTTTGAGGAAGCTCACAAGAAACTCGAGGCTCACCGGGAAAGCATTCACATGATGCTTGTCGGCCCAGCAAATGAATCGTGCAGAAAAACGGGCTCGCTTAAGCAGAGTCGATGTAGCTTTCCCAGCCAAGGCCTGCGCCACGACCCCCAAGGGGTCAGATTCGCCTTTCGCCCAAATGAGAACCCCCAACCTCGAGGCACCAGGTGAGTGGCTCAGAACACAGAGCCACCGACGTAGGACATTTTCTCGATCGACTCCGGCCTTCTCGCCTGCCTGTAGCCTGGGTTTCTTAAGCACAATCTCAAAGACGGGCAAACCTTGGCACACGGCAGAGCCATCGGCAGCGGCTCGACTGAATCACCCGGCCGCCTGTACTGCGTGGCTGGCGGCGGCACGACTCTAGGCACCTTGACGCTATGGAGGTCGACGCTTCTGCCTGGTTTTCCTGAGAAAATGGCAGACAAGGCCTTATTCCTGTCCCAGGGATAGCTGAGTGGGGCCACAACATCATAAGTCAAGTGCTGGAGGTGCCGCTCGAAACGATCACAGAGATCGGAGGCCGAAGCTTCAGCAGCCATCGAAGAAACCCCACGAGCCAAGGCCCTGAAGCGAGGCCGTTCTCACGGCAGGGGCTGCAGACCAGCCCTAATTGCAATGAAGAGGATTTCCTGCAAGAAATCGCTGCGTGTGGCAGCACTCGAAGTCAGCAGAGCAGTTCTAGCTGCAGGATCTAGGAAGTTCCACAGCGCAATCGTCACTCGCACTTTGCACACGGGTCCCGAAGCAAAGACGCAATCAAAACTGAGATCGCTAAAGTGAGAGCTCGCTGAGGTACTTGCCAAAGAAGCTGAGGACTCACTGTCCTCGTATTCCATGTAGCGACCCGCCCCACTCGCTAGAAGCACCAGATTAGCACCCAGGGCCTTTTAGAAAGATCCTAGACGTGTCTACCGGGTGGCCTGCCACACCTACCAGTGCTCACTCCCCTTGCAGCGAGAGCAAGCCCTCAAGCCACTATTCCGTCGGGGGAACCCTGGCAACGGTGTGCGGCACCACAGCAGAAGGATCTCGAGGCTCACACAAAATTTTCCGACTGTGATTCGGAAAACTGCGCAGTTCGTTCACATCAAGACATGTTGTAAAGATGATGCCGCAACTTGCATGTGAAAAGATTTGTCCGATAAAAGTCGAAACGGAAAAGTGGGAAACAAAGGAAAAACACCAGTTTTTCCTTCAAAACAAAATCTGGAAATAATACCCTGTCAATCACGATTGAAGGGTGGCTTCCTTTTCCATAAGGGCTTCCTTTTCCTCCTTTGTCACCTTTTCCTTTTGCATCTCCTTTACCTTTCCTCATATGCAATCTATCGAGTTCCATCGGAATTGGTCCTTGGTAAGTCTTGTTGCTTGAGTGTGACGTTGGGTCTGGAACACTCAATGATCCTAAGATGTTTTCAGCTGACCATGTCTGATTGCTTCTTTCATATTGTAGCAGCTTTGCTCTTAACTCTTCGTACGTGGTCTTATCAGTGATATCAACCATCACATGCTGCTTGAGGTGCTGCGGTATTCCTTTCAGCAGTGTACCGATCTTCAAGTTTTCATCGTACTTCTGGCCTGAGAGCTTTTCGTACTCTGCTGTGAGCTTTTCGTATGTCAGGACGTAGTCCATCAACGATGCTCCTTTTGAATGTTTTCACCCTTGAAACAAAGCGCCTGCGATACGACATATACTCAGCACACATGCAATGGCGGCAAACTTGCATGACTGGAAAATCAAAAGAGAGAATAGGAAAAATGTTTCACAAAACCTACTCCTCAAAACTACAAACTCCTTCCTTCCTTCCTGGGTGCAGGTTACGTAAAACACAAGCACCCCGCCCAAATGCACATGAGTCCTCAAGACCTCGTGCTGCATTTGTTTGTGTTCCTCGCTGTGACAAAGCACTGAGCTTACAAGCCAACAGTGGAAAACTCGAAATGTTCGACAAACGAGTTTCAGGAAAGGAGGAACCTATACAAGCCGCCATGCACATGCCGAGAAGTCGCACCGCACTTTGCTGTTCGTCTCTGCCGAGCGCGGACGTACCGCAGTCCTGGGCCTCGGGTGTGAAACTTCACTGCCTGCTACGGACCTCGGACCTCACCTGTGCAGCAGGAGCGGCGCTCGACTGCGTAAGAGGGCCGATGCCCCTTTCAAGAAAGACCCCAACAAGTCATTCTCAAGAGTAATGCCAAAATCTAGCGCTCCTTTAAGGGGGCAACAACGCATCACCTCATCACCCATCTCTCTCTCTCTCTCTCTCTCTCTCTCTCTCTCTCTCTCTCGGGAACTGACATGACTGCAATGCGAAAGCCCTCTGCTGACAACTGCATGACCTCCGCTTCTAGAGCTCTCTCCTTCTCTCAAGCCTCTCCGCTTCTAGAGCTCTCTCCTTCTCTCAAGCCTCTCCGCTTCTAGAGCTCTCTCCTTCTCTAGAGCCTCTCTGCTTCTAGAGCTCTCCTTCTCTGAAGCCTCTCCTTCTCTAAAGCGTCTTCCCACCAAGAGCTCTCTTCTTCTCTAGCGCCTCTTCTTCTCTAAAGCCTCTCCGCTTCTAGAGCTCGCTCCTTCTCTAGAGCCTCCCCGCTTCTAGAGCCCACAACCATGAATACGAAACGAACGCAAACAAGACTCCACCCTCCAACACCAAAGTGCCTATAACACCCACACATGGACCCCCCCCAAGGATGCATTCCCAAGCCCCCCAATGTATTTGGTTTACCCGCGGGCCCCCCCTGATTACATTAGTTAGGGAGGGGTCTGCTAAAACACTTGCTTAGCCAACATGGAACATCAGCTTAAGCGCTGACAAACGACGCATCAGCCGCACGCTGATAGAAATGTATCGTCACACTCCTGCACTTGCCACAACAAACACACTCACTTTTAGCGACAGGCTGCACTGCATTGGTCATTGATTCTGCGCCGCCCTCGAGCGCTTCTTGGAGCGAGATATATGCGGCGCAGCGCGGCGCCGCCCTCCACCACCCCTCTGGGGCGGGCGGGAGGGCAAATCTTTCTCACAGCGAGAAAGATGACACTTGTCACGCGGCAAGCTGAGAGTGTGACTGTGCCACGCAAGGGTATATGTGGGGGAGCCCATAGACGTCTAGAGTTAGTATTTAAAATCTTCGAGAGGGAATGGTGCTTAAATGTGCGCCATATCTTCTAGAGTCAATATTTCGTGGAATATAGCGTTTGCTAACGGGGGGGTTCTCTGTTGTGTGTGTCGTGAGTGTTGTGTGCGTGTGTATATATATATATATATATATATAGAATTATATAGATATGTTTTGCTGTATGTATACAGGAATGTCTAAAATTATGAAGAATATTTTTGTGCGATTTTTTAATAATAATCTCTTTAATCTCGCACTCACTCGACACAAGCGGCCTTTTGGGACGATGGGACGATGTGCATCCGAACGCTTACGCAGAAGCCTCCAGGCTCCAGGGACAAAAGTCCCACTCCACCCTCCTTTCAGAACTGGCTGTATCGAACCCTGACCCTGAACTCTGAACACAACAGGCACTTCAGTCCCGGAGAAGCAACCCCCTGACGAGAAACCAAGCACGACCACAGCAAGCACTCCTTTTGAAGGTGGTAGGGGGCCTTGTGAAAATCTGTTGCCTGGAAATGCTAGATTTCCTAAATATGCGTTTCAGATCCGTTGGGGATCCGTTTGGGTATCCGTTTTGGATGCGTTTTGGATCCGTTTTGGGGCCCCAGCCGCGGAACCCCTAAACGGATTTGCAACGGGCGGCAACGGGTCCGCAAACGGGTCCCCAGACGGGTCCCCGGCGAGTCTCCGAAACCACGACTCCCTCGCGAGGGATCCGTTTTCAATCGGTTTCGGATCCGTTTTCCCTTTGGGTCCGTTTTGGATCCGTTTGAGCCCCAGCCCCGGAACCCCAAAACGATTTGCAACGGGCCCCAGACGGACCCTCTGACGGGTCCGCAAGGCGGGTCCCCCGGTGGGTCGCCGAAACCGTTTTAAATCGCCCCAGCCCCGGAACCCCAAAACGGATTTGCAACGGGCCCCAGACGGACCCACGGGTCCGCAGGCGGGTCCCCAGACGCGTCCTCCGGCGAATCTCCGAAACCACCCTTGAAGGGAACCGTTTTTCCTCCGTTTTGGATCCGTTTTGGGTCCGTTTGGAACCCCAAAACGGATTTGCAAGCGGACTGCAACCTTGATTTTGCCCCACAGCGTAATGAGGTCTTGTCAAGTTGGTACGGGGAAGAGACGACCCAGGGCCAATGACGGACTGTCCAGCCCGAGCTTTGCTACGCAAGGCAACATACGGCCCCACATTAGCAGGCCCTGTTACAAGGTCCCCTCATGCTCTTATGTAGCTTATCAGGCTTATCAAAGGAAGGCAAGCCGCAGGCCCTCCTCTTTGGCTTTGCGAAATTGTTGGTTGGGCAGCAGAGTCCTTCAATCCGGGCGGGCGGGCGAGGCTTCAAAAGAACACGCGTAATGTTAAGGTGGTCAAACACATGCACCCCTTTTCAATGGTCGCAATGCACACTCCGCCAGGCGGCAGGAAATCCTGCCGCTGGCTCATCCCCCTTTCGAGGCTTAAAACAAGCCACATGGGGCTACACCAGGCACAAGCCACTGCTAACTCAGCCCGCGCCAGGGGCAATCACCGGGCAACGCCCACTCCAGGGGCGGGAAATTTTGTGTGCAGCAGGAAGTGCGAGCAGAGGCTGCACACAAACACACTTAACACCCGTGTGTTCGCTGCATGCGCGTGTAGAGTGGTATGTGCGCGCAAGCACCCCTGGCCCAGCACCCACAATGGAATAACTTGGGAAGTCGCACAGCAACTGAACAACTTGCAGGGCTGCACTGCACTGCATGCACATGCTATACGATATAGTGATATAATGCACAAGCTACATGTGCAGAGAGAGACGGGTGTACTGCCAAGCCCAACCCAAGCCGGTACACCCGACACGCAACGAAAACCTCAACCCCCCTCTCACAACCCAGGTTTTCTGTGAGCGCGGAGGGAGGGAAACAGAAAACTTGGAGCACACCTGATGTGAAACAGGATTTCTTCTGCTCACAGCATTCGAGCAGCTGATTATGGCTGCACATGCAGCACTTAAGTTCAACATGCAAACACGACGTAAGCTTCCGCACTGCCACAAGCCACATGCACACGCAAAAAGCTAGCCGTGACACCGCACACATCACAATGCACTAAAGAACTGCTAGCCAATCCCACTTTGATGCATGCCGTGCATGCACCCCGCAAGACCTCTGCACACACCGAGTAAAATGAAGGTGGCAGTCCGCGTGCTTCTGTCCTGCATAAGAATCTCCCCGCATGCAATCCCCATTTTGTGCAGCTTCTCACGCACGAGCAAAGCAGGTCAGATATGGTCAGATGCATGAAGCGCCGCAGCCCCATCAGACATCTGCAACGCATGGGCTGCTCCTGATCCACTCCACCTATATGATTACAACGCCGCAACGCTACGGCCAGCTTTCGGCTGTTATGGCGGTGGCTGCTTCAGACCGCCACGCAGGGCAGCCGCTGCTTTCTCAGTTGCCTCTGCAAGCCTTTGTTCGATGCTCCGAGCGCTCTGCAGGTTTTCGATTGCCTAGTAAGCGAATGCAAGGCACAAAATACACACAGAAGAATCCACATGCTCCAACAATGGCCTTCGCAGCGCTGCTTGCCGGAACATCGAAATTGACGTGAACTTCCATTGGAATCCCCGCTTGCCATACCTTGAACACCAAGCGCCGAACTCGCATAAGGCATAAGGCCAGCGATACGTCTTTATTTGGAGCAGAGGCTGCACCGGCTGCACAGGAG